CGGTATACAAAATGTTGCGATCGTTTCAGCCCTATGAGTCAATACCTATCAGTCCCCCGTGTGCGTGTGCACTTGTGTGTGTGTGTATGTATGTGTCCATATATGAGCCGTCAGATGCGAAAAGGGATCTTATGGCATATTTTGGTCAAATTGAGATGAGGACTCAGGCAAAATCTATAGGCTTTTATACTTCACCTCCAAAATATCGGACTCAAAAATCCAAACCCATCACGAAGATATCGTCAATTTAGTATCCCGAAAAGTTGCAGAAAAATTGCTCTCCTGATTCGCTTGCGCAGGAGCTGCTGTTGCTGCTGCTGCTGCTGCTGCTGCCGCACCAGCACACGCTTGCTCCTGGGAAGATGAGCCGCCAAAAAGACCTCCGTAACTTCACCAACGTGGATTTCGACTGGTTCTGCATTGTCCTCTTCTTCATCAGAAATTGCATCGCTGTTTTCGAGTGCTGCACTTTCGCTCGGGTCAAATACCTTGTCTGGCTCGCACTCTGAGTGAGAGTAGCCAAAACATTCTACATCTATGTCCTGTCGGGGCTGAAGAACTTTGGCTAAAGCCTCATCCCAAGTAAAGTAAGACTGCCTGCTCATCTTGAAATTTGTAAAAGAGCAGAGAAGTCAAGCAGGTCAGGAGACAAAAGAATTTCGTTCAAAATCAGAGAGCGGAGCTCGTGAGAACGGACCGTATGCGTGTTAAAACAAAATGGCGTCACGATTTATTGAAAGTGGTATAGTTGGTGGTACGAGTGTTCAAACCCATTTGAACTTCATACTGTTCGTCTTCTTTTTGACATGCTCTCTTTCCATCGTCCTTAGCTTTTGTTTGTTGAGAGCTGTTTTGGCTTTCTCCTATACCTCTGGGGGATGCCAAGTGATGGTTTTGAGAGGCTGGTGATGGCTGTGAGCGAGAGTTTGCCGATCGGCGTCGTCCTCGCTATAGCGATGAAAATACTAGTTACTGCGCACCTGGCAGATATCACAACACGTCGGAGCGTCCAGGAGCAAAGGAATCTTGGGTTTTCACTGGAATCTAGATCCTCCAGCATCGTGTAGCCCACTGTCGGTGAATGGCCGTCCAGAAAGGTCGAACCTGGTCTTCTGCAGCATCTCGCAGTCCTGCGAGGCACACTGAATACGCCTGTCATGCATTCTACAAATAAAAAATCACAAAGTAGTGGACGTTATAGTGATGAGTCTTTCCTGTATGCTGCAAAAGACGCAGGAAATGTGACTGGTGTCCGTACACTGGACGCCAATATCATCCCAGTCTTCTCCTGCAGGATCTGTTTGACATTGACATACCGGTATGCAGTGGGTCGACATTGGCCTGGTTTGGCAGCTATCTGCCTGGGTGGATGTAGCAGGTTTGCAGGTTTGCGTCGTCTGAGTCCGACATTTTCTTGTAACTGTGGAGTACCGGCAGGGTTTGAGAGGTTGCTCGTGCTGTGAACACATCTATACTGCCTGTCTCGTCCTGGAAGTGCCGTCTCGCCGCTTCCTTGCTCTACAGTCACTCCGTTATTTCGCTTTGTTTCGTGGTGAAGCTCAAAACCTGCCCAAACAACTGTGAGCTCGCAACATGGTATGGACAAATTGCACCACTCCTGCTGGTTAACTAAAACCGGGATAGTCGAGTAAGCGAGTTCACTCCCTGGGCCATGGCAAGATCTGTTCAGCGCGGGCTATTCCAACCTCCAAGTGCATAGTCACCGATCGATCCATGCGATGGTGGTTGACCTACAAAGAACCAAGGTCTATGAGTACTACTATTGGATGCTGTCTACATGCAGTCAACAAAATCAACCTCAGTATGCCCCAGAATAGGGCATGTGCATCTATAGCATGACACAACAGGGGTTCTGGCGGCACCTGTCAAACAAGCAGTAGCGACTAGTGCCAGCTACCTATTGGAGGCTAGCCGCTACAGTCTGTCACTGGAGATAATTATTATGTTCACTGTTTAGACTGAGCACAATCAATGATGCCCAATCAATCTGCCCAATGTGTGTTCTGTTCCACCTAATTATAACGTCCCATCGCATCAACCCTACTACACGCACATGTCGTCACTCTAGCATGACTTGTGTTATTATTGTTTATTTTGATTCGCACGATAAATAGAGCACAATAAACGTTAACTTGACCGAAGGATAAAGGCGACTGCAGATAGAGGAACACATCGAGGTACAGGTACCGGCATCAATACAGTATCAGAGAGAAACAAACAAAAATGAGAGGTACGCAGAAAAAACTCTCGTAAGCCCAAGGGGAAGTGGTTGATAAGGGATGAATGCACTCTCCACGCTCATCTACACTGTTCGTGGAAATGCACACATATATACAATAATATACAACATAGCAATAGCATGCACAGAACCGAACAATTTCATGTTCACACATGCAAGCACAGACCTGAACATTAGTACCAAAAGCCGATACAGACAATATCCCCATACACACAGACGCACACACACACACACACACAATGTCCCATGTATGCGCCTGTAGCGAGAAAAGCACGCAAATCTACAAATGCACTGGATGTGAACCCACTGATTTTCTCTTATAGCAACGATAGCGGATCCGTGATTCTGAATGAAAAACACACACACACACTCAATACAATCATTGAATGCCCATCCGCAGATGATGGCAGGTCCTGAAAGAACAGGCAGCGTTCCAGTAATGGGGAACAGAACTTCGAGTGGCGAGTGAGGTATACACACACACACACGTGCGTGCGCGGGCACACACTAAACTATTCAGAAATAGAATCGACATTGTAGTATTCATTGGTGGGGGAATGGAAAGGAAAATAAAACATTGCTGTTGGTTATTGTTGTAAGGACACTGGGAGCACAACAGAAAGGTAAGCAACTTGCTTTGAAGCAAAGAAAGTAATTATTCCACGGATCTCAGAAGGAAGGAACGTTCCAGAATGCTTCACTGGCAACAGGCGGCCTGCATGTGCGCGGCCCCTGCAGTCGGTCCAGCTGCCGGCCTTGCAGTGCTGAAAAGAATGTGCAGTACAGCATGTCACATAGTATCGCAGCCTGGACAAATAGGCGCTGGGAAGTCCTAGTTATGTGCTCACCTACACCACGATGCACCAATCTTCCGAGCTACTTTGGCAACAACTTTGTCCACTTGAGACTCCCATGGGCTGAGCCAGTTGTTGAGGGCTGCACCAAGGTGGACGGCAATGACCGCTGATGGCAAGGCAATCCATGACACACAGTCACTAGGGCATCGTCAACATGGCGCTGAGGCTGGATCGATATAATCAACCTTTAGGCTGTCGCGGGGTTGACAACGAGGCCGCTGTCTCGAAGCTAGTCAGTCAGCCTGGTCACCGCCATTGACGAACCAGTCGCCACCGCCAGCAGTGGCGGTAGGTTGTGACAAGTGTGGTGCAATATTGTCAGCAAATTCAGTACTTAGGATAAGATGAGTGACAAAGGGAACGTTGTGTTTAATATTATTGAAGTGAACAGCGATGATCACAAACCCTGCGCGTACTTCACCGTGAGTTACAAGAAAATTCCGGACTGGACGACGAGCAAACGCCAACCTGCTACATCCAACCAGGCAGATACTATTACGATAGCTGCTAAACCAGGTCAATGCCGACCTACTGCATAATGTCAATGTCAAACAGATCCTGCAGGAGAAGACTGGGGTGTTGGCGTCCAGTCACTGAGTGTACAGACACCAGTCACATTTCCTGTGTCTTTTGCAGCATACAGGCTGAGACTCATCACTGTAGAATCCACTACTGCATGAGTTTTATTTGTACAATACATGGCAGGCGTACACGGTGTGCCTCGCAGGACTGCGAGGTGCTGCAGTAGACCAGGTTCAACCTTTCTGGACCGCCATTCACCGACGGTGGGCTACACGATGCTGGAGGAACTAGATACCAGTGAAAACCCAATATTCCTTCTCTCCTGGACGCTCCGACGTGTTGTGATATCTGCCAGGTGCGCAGTAACTAGTATTTCTATAGCGAGGACGACGCCGATCGGCAAACTCTCGCTCACAGCCATCACCAGCCTCTCAAAACCATCACTTGGCATCCCCCAGAGGTATAGGAGAAAGCCAAAACAGCTCTCAACAACCAAAAGCTAAGGACGATGGAAAGAGAGCATGTCAAAAAGAAGACGAACAGTATGAAGTTGAACACTCGTACCACCAACTATACCACTTTCAATAAATCGTGGCGCCATTTTGTTTTAACATGAATATCGCGGACTGCGCCACCAAAAAGGCAGTTTTTTTCCGCCGTGCTTTGGAGTATCAGGCCGGTTGAAGTATCTACGGAAAGATGGGAGTCTCAGCAGTGCGCTAGTATATGCCAGCTCTGTGTGATGCACACGCACCCGGTACCCGCAACGATCGAAAAAATGACGTCACATCAAGATTCACTGATGCACGTGACAGGTTCATGACAGCCTGTCACTCTGACGCACTTTACTCGATTTACTGTGTGATGCCATAAGCACCCTTTTCGCATTTGACGGCTCATATGTATGTGTGTGTATGTGTGTGTACGTGTGTGTGTGTGTGTGTATGTGTGTGGGTGTGTATGTGTATGTGTGTGTGTGTATGTGTATGTATGTATGTGTGTGTAAGTGTATGTGTGTGAGTGTGTGTGTGTATGTGTGTGTGTGTGTGTGTGTGAGTGTGTGTAAGTGTATGTGTATGTGTATGTTTGTCTGTGTGTGTGTAATCCTAGCACCAGTTGCTATGTCTAACGTAGCTGTACGCTATCATTGCTTCTGCGATGGGCAGGTCTGACGTCTGAGGTCTGTGTGTGTGTGTGTGTGTGTTTGTGTTTATGTGTGTGTTTTTGGATGTGTGTGTGCACGTGCATGTGTGTGTGTGTGTGTGTGTGCACGTGCATATGTGTGTGTGCATGTGTGTGTGCATCAACATGTGTGTGTATGTGTGTACATGTCTTGTCTTTAATTTTGCTGCTACTTCCAGGGTGGTGACACACCATTACATCTTGCGGCCAAACGTGGTCATGTTTCTGTAGTAGAATGTCTTCTCACTTCTGGACATTCGTTGGAACCAAAGACGAATGTAAGTCATAATTATTATCCGTGATGCATTCTTGTTTGTATATGAGTAGAAAGAAGAATTACGCAGGTGAATAAATTCAGTGGGTATTGACAATGCCTGTGGGTCTGTTTTACGCTAGAAATTCACAATTGGCAATTTTGTTTATGTCCACAAAAAGGTTTCGTGCGATTCAAATATGCGTTAACCCACATGCATGCACCTGCTACCGCACACCCAAGTGTGCGTGCACACGCCCGCTAGGCCTTGTGGCCAAGCGTAATAATAATTAATATGTATACACACGCATGTATTCCACATTGCAATTTGCTTGCAAAACTTGCTCGCACCAGCACACCAAGCATAGAACCTAGTTGGGGGGTTTGCCATTATCTTTTTTTCACATTTGTCACTCTTTGAAATATCACCAATGATAGCAAATTGCCGTGTTAGCAAGAGCCATTGGGCACAAGCCAATGCATGGCTCATAATTCTTATCGCCTCATAACGAGCACAGCACGGCAATTTGCAACAAGCACAATTGGCAAACATGTCACCCGGCAACAGCAAACGGGTACATCGTTACAAACAAGGTGCCCCGGCAAACTCAACGGGAACGCACCAATACAAACACGGCCCCGGCAACAGCAAACGGGTACGCCGTTACAAACATGGTGCCCCGGCAACAGCAAACGGGAACGCACCAATACAAGCTGGCCTGGCAACTTCAAACAGGCACAACTGACAAACTACGGTACCCAGCAACAGCAAATGGGCACACTGTTACAACACCAGTCCATCATATCAAGATGGCGCTGCCACAACATTGCAGCAGCAACACAGCAGCCATGTATACGTGGCCCTCCCAAAAACAGACACCTGGAGCCAAACGCATCCATCACACTGCTTATCAGGGCCGACATGAGTGACAATGGCAAACCCCACCTAATGCTTATAGTTAAATGATGGGATCTGTATACCGCCTTTCGTCACGGAATCAATAAATGTCAGCAGAGCATAACACTCACTTGCACTCACACCCTGTCACGTAGAGATGCTACACTACTTGTCCATTGGGGTGGCATGCCGGCCGATTGCCGAACATAGCGCTCAGAAGCTGTACTGCGCCACCGCCCTGCCCGTCGTATCACCGCTTCACTTGCACCTCTGGACGCCAGGAGTGTCGCCCCACCAATCCGCATGGAGTGGGAGCTCACCTGGTTGCAGTTGAGAGCCTGACGAAGTATCTTGTTCAAACATGGCGGAGTAAGGTAATTCCCTTCAGCAAAAGCGAACACAGGTTGAGAGCTGCAGGCTTGAGCTGTCGTGCGCCGGAATTCGGACATTGCCAGTACCGGGCACGTTTCGTCGCCAGTAGAAGACACCGTGACAGTTCCACCGTCGCCAGATTGGCGCGTCTTAGTGACTTTCAGCCGCAACGTGACCGAGTCGGGTGCAATACTGACAGCCGTCCACACAAGTGCTCTTTGGCTGTCAAACGTGTGAATAGAAGGCGCCAGATACTCACTGGCACGCAGCAAGCCATAGAAGGCTAGAGTTACACTTGCCCACAGCATAGTCTGATCCACATATGCATAATTTGAACGTTGTAAGTATCGCCGGAAATGGATCAAGTCGTCCACCGAAAGCTCTCTCCGAGCCAACGCTGAGGGGGTTGCCGTCTCTCTATGCCATGCAACACTGCTGTTAGGCGAGCAGACTTTAAAACATCCACTGCCGCCCCATTGCACAACAGGTAGTAGCGGACTGCCGCTAGGTAAACGCGAATTGATGACAGAGACAGACTTCTTACAACAAAGAGACTAGCGGTGAAGGACACAATATTTTCAGTAGTAGGAGAAAGTGCCACAATGGAGTTAGTACGGCAGAACTCTAAATAAGCAGCAATACCAGGCTTAAATGTTTGTTTGGTACGCTTTCAGACGGAGTCCTCAACTAGCGCGTCACTGGCCGTACTCAGAGCAGCGAGCTGGGGGAAGGCACGTGTACGGGATGGCTGCAGGCTGCGGGGGCCAGTTCTCGGAACCGAGACATCTGAAACCGAGACAACGCATCAGCCACAGCATTATTTACACCAGCAATGTGCCGTATGAACAAAATGTAATTGCCAGATGCAGCTTCAGCCAGCAGAAATCTGATAATAGCCATTGCATTCTTGTTACGACATGACCCTTTCCGCCATGGCAGCACAGCAGCCTCATTATCGCAATGGAACATAAGCCGCTTGCCAGACCAAGCATGACCCCAAACAGCGCAAGCTAGAGCAATAGGGATCAGCTCGCGAACCATAATCGGTTCGTCAAGCAGTTCAGCGGGCCACCGTCCCAAAAACCACTGGCGGGCATAATAGCCACCAAAGCCTACATCAGAAGCATCAGTAAAGAGATCAAGATCAGGGGATGTGGACCACTGGAGGTCATGAAAGAAAGAACGGCCATTCCAAGTGGCAGCAAACCGACGCCACCACGCAATGTCCAAGCGAGCTCCGGCATCGAGGGTAACGATAGACTGCAGGGAGGGTGCGGTGCAGCTCAAGTCTATGAGGCGCCGGATGAAAGTCCGACCAGGAGGCACCACCTTGGCAGCAAATGAAAGGGTGCCTATGAAAGACAGCAGCTCCCGCTTCGTGCCACGAGTACGAGCAGACCAGACAGCCAGGGCTGAGTGCAGAGCAGACAACTTCTCAGCGGGGAGCCGCATGACCTGCTCCACGCTGTCGACCTACATACCAAGAATGGTCACCACGGTGGCGGGGCCAACCACCTTGCCAGGACCGGATGCAACGGGAATGCCAAGGTTATCAAAGGAGGTGACCGGGCCGGTGGCAAGCAGAGCAAATAGGTAGGGACTGGCCCGTAAAACAGCGAGCATACAAGTCCATATCGGTCTTGTTCCAGAGGACCTTCGAACACCGAGAGGCTCTCTGGCGGAACTGGGTGTCGTAATCGGCCACCGTAGCCCACCGGAATTTCTTAGCCGACTGGAGAATAATGAGCTGGTAACCCAGCAGCTCGGAGGACTTCGACGGTTGCTGATCAGCAACGATACTACAATAAATCGTCCAAGCCTCCAGCCAGGACTGGAGCGAGGCGATCCTGAGCCGTGACGACGAGGGCGCCGTCATAACTAAATCGCCGTCCTCTTCGGACACGCGAATCCGTTTAGGATGAGGCTCAGCAGTGGGGGTCGACGCAATGACCGGGGGCAACAAACAGCTCAAATCTATAAAGTCCCCACGCAACAGTTTCGCGATCTGAGCCAATGCCACATGGCTATAAACATCGACAGAACGAGAGGGCTTACCAGACTCAAGCAGGTGAGGACGAGCCGAAGTCGAAGCCCCAGGCGCGGTGAGACCAGACGGGGTGACGGAGCTCGCGGCTGGTGGAGACAACGACGCTGTTGCGCCCGACACGCCAGGGGCAGATTGAGAAACCGGAGGCTGGCGAACCGCGGGAGCGAAACTAGCAGGTAAGGCGGGAACGGGCTCCTCCTGAACGCCTGCTGCCGATGAATCCAACAAGGAGACAGCTGGCTCTGGCTCTGCCAGAACGGGCGGAGTAGCTGAGACGGGAGCCGGGTCCGCAACGCCAACTGGGGCAACAGCTAGTTGAGGCAGCACCGCGGAAAGGGACGAAGTGATAAGAGCCTGGAGCTCGGCGGTCTGCGCAGCAGAGAAAGCCGACCGGTCTCGCCGTGGAGGCATTGTAGCAAGGTAATCCGAACACGGACGGACCACTGAACAGAAAGTGAGAGAAATTACCAGCCTGACACGGAAAGCACTTCTTGTCCAAAGGAAAGACAAACCAAACTGCATTCAACTAGCTACTGCAGCGCGCATAAAGGCAACAGTAGCAGCAGTGCAAAAATGCAAATTACAGATCATACTCGGCACAGAATAATACTTAATGATATGCATCATGAGACCATCACTGCGCATGTGCCCGCGTGGGCTAACTTGGCTTTGATACTCAAAGCCGGCATATAATACTAAGTGGTAGCACAAACTTCAGGCTGTTCATCATCATTAAGAAAATTAATGTTTTTTACGAGTAAACTTCCGTGCTTTCTCTTTATAAATGTGACGTTCTTTCTCCAGTACATTGTCTACTTCCTCATCAACAAGGGGATATAGCGGCACGAGCAAACGAGAGCAAGAACAATGAATTATGGATATGCATGATGTATATTGGTCATGCATTTATCACCGTTGTTTTTAGCTATTCTACTTTGACCCGGTTTTATCACCTCATTGCTGTACATAATTCATTGTATTTGCTCTTGTTTGCTCTTGCTTGTATATCACCTGAGGAAAAGGTACGGAAGTTTACTCGCAAAACCATTAGATTATTATGAATGTTGTTGAAGAGCCTAAGGTTTGTCCTATCAACATAATGAGCAGTTGTCCTTTGCTTCATCAGCCTGGAAAACATTTAATGAGTTACTTGCGTCACATCAAATGTGCTCGTAAGTCCAATGTTTTGAAGAGATCTGGTAAATGGTTCCACGTTGGCACTTCGAGGATCTCAGCATCTCAGCTTCATCCGGAAACCCTCTTTAATGCTGGACTCCAGGTGCCATTGTGTGATCTACGAGAACCCCCCGGTCGTGGAGAATGGCATGGCTGTGTGAATGAGCCCTGCACAAACCACTCTGGCTCAACTCATCCAACGGGGTGGCCATCGCCTAATCGGTGAGGGAACCTACTTTTGCCACCTGTACAATATGCATTGTCCAGATGCACATCACCTTCTACAGAGGATGTTGCCACCCCAGCAGCCCTAACACCAGCTGGCGAGTGGATGCAGTTTTTGGCGTTCCGGAATCATTCAATCCTGTGTGTATGTATACCTGTTAGAAATGTCTCGAGTATGTTCTATACAGCCGAGTGGCAGCCTTCCCAGGACCATGCCTTTTTTATTAGACTGTTGCTTTCCTCTGGTGTCAAACCAGATGAAATAAAACTAATTAACCTGGGCGGAAGGCACCTCATCACTCACCTGACACTGACAAAGATGGATTCACCATGGCATCAGGGAAGAATACATTCCCAGCAACTCCCCGGGCTGCCAAACTCGCCAACATTTTCTGCACTGCAGCTGAACGTGACGAAGTTTCAGGTGCTGAAGATACGGATAACAGTGGCGCACAGGTCACATTTAACGGAATAACATTTGAGTGCTAACTTGACAACAGCACAATCTTCCGACAACCTCTGCTCCTCATACCCTAGTTCCTCTAAATCCAAACGCTGAAGCATTCCAACCCACTGATACAAGAACAGTGCTTGCAACATCGTAGCGAAATATGACCATTGCATTCCTCAACATTAATTTTGTAGTCTACGCCACAAAATACATGAACTTTTGAACCTGGTGCATTCGATGGACTGGGACATTGTCGGTGTGGCCGAGACTTGGTTCACCAACACAGTAGCTAACAATGAGATCGATATATCTGGAAAAAGCCTTGCCAGGTTGGATCGAGCCGGCCATCCCGGTGGAGGTGTGTGCCTGTATTACAGGGCTACTCTTTCTGTCACCATACAGCCAGATCTAAAGATCTGAAGGTGGACGGTAATGAAGGCGTGTGGATCAGTTTGCCCCACTCCAGACAGAGGCACCTTTTTGCGTGTATTTATCATCCCCCCCCCCCCTGCTGAATCAATTCACTACCAGGACAGATTTGAGCAGGCTCTTCACCAGGCTTCAGTGGTATCACCATCTGTCACCCTGTTCGGTGACTTCAACATTAATGTTAGCTCAGCACTGCACTGCATTGCTCTGCACTGCATTCAGGACTGACGTCATGCACTTTGTTTTGCTGCGTAATCACAAATGGCACCAGCCCATTTTGCTCCAAAGAAAAACAAATCTTGTCTGCCCTGTTGTGCTCTTCCAGACAACGGATCGTTCTTCAGCAGTGTTTCTTTTTGGTGCTCTTCCAGACAACGGATCGTGCTTCAGCAGTGTTTATTTTCCTTTCGTAGCTTTGCTGCCAGCCTGAGTGTCACCTCGACATCTTATTTCTTTAGTATGTCTGACCTAACTGTCGACACTGTCAAGGCCATGCCTTGCCAAGCCCTCCGCGGCCAGCTTTCTCAGCGCGGCTTGAATCCGAAAGGAAACTGAGTAAAAGTATTTTACAGGACCCGGTGAACTTCAGGTAGCCACAGGCTGGACGTAGCCAGGAACAGACGGGATAGTGGCTGGTTAATCGCCCGCACCAGCTAAATACTTCCCGTCCGGTAATCTCATCAGGCACCTCGAGCTGGACACCATCACGTCTGCGCCAATGTAACTCATCATCAGCTGCGGTTAACAGCTGGAGATCCAGCACTCCAGCAGAACTGACATCCTCCGCAGGCTTCGTGGGCAGGCCGAATGCAGCGGGGCGGGCAGACACAGCACTAGACAGAGGCTTGGGGACAATCACGTCATCCACATAATTGTTGACTTCTGGCATGTTGCGGGTCACATACTTGACAATGATGTCCATGACCTTGGGGGCCACTGACAAGCCGAAACCCATGCGGGTCATTACGTAGGTCTTGTCT